AAAAAAAACAAAGCCCCCTTGGAAGGGGGTTTTGGGCCCCCCCCCCTTTTTTCACCCAACAAACAAGGCCGGATCAAGGGGGTTTTGGGCCCCCCCCCTTTCCCCCCCAGGCAAGGCCGATTGAGAAGTTTTTGCCTCTCCCCTTCCACCCCCACACCAGGGCCGTCAGGGGGTTTGTTCGCTGCACCCTGTCAAACACAGAGCCGCAGGGCAATCAGGGGATTGGGGAGCTCCCCCCATCAGACACAGAGCAGGGCTGATCAGGGGGTTGGGGCGCCTTCCCCTGTCACGAACAGAGCAGTGCGGATAGGGAGGTTGTGGCCCCGCCCCCTGTCACACACACAGCCGCAGGGCGATCAGGGGATTGGGGAGCTCCCCCCTGTCACACACAGAGCTGCAGGGCATTCAGGGGATTGGGGAGCTCCCCCCTATCAGGCACAGAGCAGGGCTGATCAGGGGTTGGGGCGCCTTCCCCTGTCACGCACAGAGCAGGGCGGATAGAGAGGTTGTGGCCCCGCCCCCTGTCACACACAGAGCCGCAGGGCGATCAGGGGATTGGGGAGCTCCCCCCTATCAGGCACAGAGCAGGGCTGATCAGGGGGTTGGGGCGCCTTCCCCTGTCACGAACAGAGCAGGGCGGATAGGGAGGTTGTGGCCCCGCCCCCTGTCACTCACAGAGCCGCAGGGTGATCAGGGGGTTTGGGCGCTGCCCCCTGTCACACTGATCCCAGTGCCGGGAGGCCTCGCAGCTCCGCTGATCCCGGTGCTGGGAGGCATATTACCCTTTTACTATATAGGATAGAGGCCTGGTGCACGGGTGGGGGCTGGCTGGTTTGCCCTGAAGGGTGTCCTGGATCAGGGTGGGGGTCCCCACTGGGGTGCCTGGCCAGTCTGGGTGAGGGGCTGAGGGCTGTTTTCCGGAAGCGGGTGACTGAAGCTCCCAACCGCTCCTTTTTTTCTTTTTTTTTTTTTTTTTTATTCTGGGCCAGCTTTAGCTCTGAGGCCTTGCTGCTGAAAACATCGATACAATGTTGCGGTCAGGCTGGCTGAAGCCCGGCTGAATGAAAGCCGGTTTCTGGGGTTTTGTTTAGCTTCTTATTTGCAACATAGTACATAGTTGCTTAGAGTTGCAGCTGAGAGGCCAGCAGCGGCAGGCGGGAAACGTTGCAGTTCGCCGTCACTGGAGCAAGCAAGCCTCCCTGCTCGCTTCAGTGCATGGCTGCCAGCCGCCATCTTGGCTGACAGTTAATTTGCATAAGGATATGCTGAATAGCCAATGGGAAGGGTAGCGGTCGTACGCTAATTACCATGTTTTTCTTTTATTAGTGTAGACTAGAGCCCGGTGCACAAAAATTTGTGCACTCGGGGGGGAGAGGGGGTCCCTCAGCTCGGCCTGTGCCCTCTCCCAGTCTGGGACCCCTCGGGAGATAATGACATGCTGGCTTAGGCCTGCTCCCGGGTGGCAGAGGGCAGGCCCAATCCCTAGGTGCAGCTCCTGGTCAGGCTCAGAGCAGGGCCGATTGGGGAGTTGGGGCACCGCCCCCTGTCATGCACAGAGCAGGGCAAATTGGGAGGTTGCGATGCCACCCTCAGTCATGCTCAGGGTAGAGCCGATTGGGGGGTTGGGGCACTGCCCTCTGTCACACTCAAGGCAGGGTCAATGGGGAGGTTGCGGCGCCACCCCGTCACGCACAGAGCAGGGCCGATCAGGGGGTTGGGGCGCTGCCCCTGTCACTCACAGAGCAGGGCCCATCAGGGGGGTTGGGGAGCTCCCCCCGTCACACACAGAGCCGCAGGGTGATCAGGGGGTTTGGGCGCTGCCCCCTGTCACGCTGATCCCGGTGCCGGGAGGCCTCGCAGCTCCGCTGATCCCGGTGCTGGGAGGCATATTACCCTTTTACTATATAGGATAGAGGCCTGGTGCATGGGTGGGGGCTGGCTGGTTTGCCCTGAAGGGTGTCCTGGATCAGGGTGGGGGTCCCCACTGGGGTGCCTGGCCAGTCTGGGTGAGGGGCTGAGGGCTGTTTTCAGGCTGGCGGGTGACTGAAGCTCCCAACCGCTCCTTTTTTTCTTTTTTTTTAATTCTGGGCCAAGGCCTCTGCTGCTGAAAGCAGGTATCTGGTTTGTTTCGGTTCTATAATCGAAACACTGTATCATCTCCAGCTCTGAGATCCTGGCCGGCTGAAAGCTGGTTCCTGGGGTTTTGTTTAGCTTCTATATTTGTTACAATGTTTCAAACTGCCAGCTCCGAGGCTGGCAGCCACAAGCGGGGAACGTTGGAGTCCTCCGTCACTGAAGCAAGCAAGCCTCATGTTCGCTTCCAGCTGCCTGGCTGCCGGCTGCCATCTTGGCT